TCCTGCCGCAAACACCGCGACAACGGCCACTTTCCGTCACCGTCGATCGCACTGTCGCTGTCCAACCGCCACCATTCACCGACACTACCGCCCTTCTCCAACTTCTGCGTCGACCACAGCGACCATATTCACCAACACCACGACATCTCGCACTCCCCCCACCGATGGGACAACGTCCGACGTCCCATCACTTGCTGCCATTACCACTAGCCCTCCCACCTCCAGCGATGTGGACTCGGTCCATACCTATCCTCGTTGCGATCGCTCATTCACCTCATCCATCGGCTTTATCGGTCACTTGCAAATCCATCGCACAGAGACTGGGGAACCAGTGCCTGGAACGCAAACGTGCACCAGATGCACTTGCCTCGACTGCCCTACTAAGTGCAGGGCTGCATGTCATCCTTCTGCGCCTCAAGGAATGTAAGCATCTGCGATGCCATGAAAACCAAACCATGGTCCTCGCAGAATGGTGTGCGCTGGCAGTTCTCTAACATCTGGTTCCCCACCGGTAGAAGCACCTGCGCTTCCGCTGGGTATCCAGGTCGTGCGCATGATTGCCCCATGATCCTCGTCTTTCTGGCCCGTTGTTTTGCTGCGGTTGATTAAAATCCTGGTCAAGTGTTTGCTGTGGACCAGGAGGTGTGGTGGTACACCTAGGTGCGGGTCGGCTGTGCCAGCCACCTGCGCCCCCTCGCACATTTGGTCTTCTTGACTATGTCTGGAAACCGGGTCCAGGTAAAGGAGGAGGTGTGAGTGCAGTAGACGCTGTGCAAGTCTACTCTCACTATGAACTAACTCACACGCCAGTCACCGTACCTGCTTCACCTTACCGTTGAGCTCATGATGGACATAGTCGGTTGTGATCGTCGGGCTGTCGAAGTGTATGATGGGATCCAAGCACTCATTGCCTCTTTAAAACTCAGCCCATAAGTTTTCTCATTAAGGGGTACCATCCCGTTTGGCTAGTCGAATCGGAAGGAATGTCGGATGGGTTAGTTTTATACGGATAAGCAGAGACTACCTTCCGAATTCCGGACAGTTTGCTAGCGATTGTGCACTCAACAGAGATCATTTACTTACCTGCAACGGTTGGTCCTTTTACTCAGGTAGTTATTTGATATTTTTCGCCGTGGACATTTCTATGCGAGGTCGACTTGCCTCCCTACAACAAAACTCTGCACAGGGATCTCATGCACACTTCCATTTCGGATCATGAGTTATTTGGAGTGGCTGCATTCGCAGCGTCAGTTTAGGACCGTAAAAACGAACTGATCATGTTATAAATCTCGCACTGTCGTAGTTACCCTTAATTACTTCATATGCCTTACTTTTCCTTGTCAAGCACGCTTAAAACCTTCTTCTTAGCCCTACCTTAGCACCTACAAGATTTTCGCCGGTTTAATTTGATTTTGTGCGTTAGTCTCAAATACTGACGCCTCTTGTCGACCGGTTGAGTGTACATTGAGGCTATTATTTGTGTTAGGCAATCACGAATCGTAGAAATGCTGCCATCAGGGAGTCCCATATACGCGTTTTCTCGGAAACAACACCAAGACTTGTTGTTTAGTTTGATCTAGATGTTAAGTATTCCGTGCCTCAGGCATAATATAAATAGTTTCACATATTTGAAGCTATTTTTAATTTAGAAATTGTCATCCTCCTTAAAGGAAATTTCCTCTTTCAAATGCCAAATCTAGGGGTGCTCATTACCAGATTAGGTAAAATGGGCCCATCTTAAAAAACGTTAAATTCTTTATAATAGTCTCATTCGGAGCCTTTAAGCTGCTCTACTAGTCGGTTAATGACGCGCTTCTAGTTAAGCATCCCAGATGGTCCAACGGAGAATTTCGACAAATCGCAACTCCGGATGAAAAATTTATGGAATATGTAGAAAATACTGAGTGTTGTCCCGTTGGCTTCAGCAAATCGTTGTTGTAATGTCCGTTTTTCAAAAGGGGTGGATGCAAAGATAAAGCATTAGATGGAGAGATCTTAAACCGTTAGCAAGTGAAAGCTTATTTTGCCTTTCATCTTTACGAGCGTTCTCTTTGGAAATTTCTGCATATGTATTTTAGAAGTTCGTCTCATGCCCTGTAGATATTCCGCAAATTTATTTTGCTTCTTTCATGAACGGATTGTCGGAACTCCTTTTTAGCTATTTTGGGCCATGCCTATCAAACTAACTAACACGACGTTTCCTAACCGCCGCACAACGTTTTGATGATATATTTTATCGTTTTTGTTCAACAGTAGTTTATTTTCTAGTATTTATGCAGTGATTTACAAGTGTTTTGAAGCTCTTGATATGAACCCTATCAAAAGACAGATTTTGCCAGCTGAACAACAAGAGCGTGTTAGGGTAAAAACTGTTTTCAGGAAATATTGTCAAATCTCTATGAAAAAAATTGGGCCAACCATCGTGGAGATCAATTGGCTCCCTATAGTTCACAAAACCGATGTTCCACTGCGATCGATAATAGTGTCAATCAGTGTACCCTACTACAAGACTTCTCAGTTGCTTTTAACCAATTCCATTCAATTACAAGGAATTGCAGGCTTTAACTGACAACCCTTTAGAGTCCCTAAACAAACGCGAGGACTCACAATCGCCGCAGATAAAATAATGATATCCCTCGGTGCCGTCTTTCTGTTGACGCACCTACCGCTAGATTTGTCAGGACAATACATAGAACAACTGATCTAGGCAGGGACGTTGCAGCTGCTTCTCTGGTTGGAACTCCAGACTTTTTTCCAGAAACGAATTTTCAAATCGACTATGAATGCTACCAACAACCGGAGGAAACCCGTTATGGAGTCACCTATCCTTGACTTTCTTCGGGGGATCAAAATGCATCAATTAGCAGTAGCGAATGCTTTATATAAATAACGCATTTCATTTGTTAACACTAATCAGGTGAAAACGCTCATAAACACTATTAACTAGACATTTTCATGAACTGAATTTGCTCTCGAAAGGCGAATTGACAAAAGTCCATATTCCTGGATTTTCCGAGATAGTGAAAGGCTGATAAAAGATTGAACACAGCATTTATTGAAAAACATTCTTTCGGAACTCAATCTGCACACTGCGAACAACCATCCTATCCCTCAAATGAGAATATCGTTCGCAGGTTATCTTGTCAAGCAGCAACCCACTGTTCTGAGGTGAAAGTTTTAGAACAGAAATAAGCATTCTGTTCAAAGCCCTTTCTCGGAAAAGAACCCAAAAGATTTGTAAGTCGACGCACGAGGTAACAGGAGGCAAAAGCAAAGTGAGTAGGCAATTCCAGCCAAAGCTCAAACAGACGACTACACTATCCACTCAGCTTGCATGCAATAAGGATGCGATAGGTTTGTTTAGATAAGAGAGAAGTTGTCCACAAAAGTCTATGCAATGCCTGTGGCTGAACTGGAAAATATAGCCTTGTTCATACACGTGGACATCAGTTGTTAGTGAAGAAAAGAGACCATTTGTCCCAAGTCACTATGGATACTGGACACACCCTTTGCTTGGTACAAAACTCACACTGCCAGCATGCACCTATGTAAGAAAGACCGCGAGTTTCTCAGGGCAATATACTTGGATGAATCATGCTGCAACCGGCGCATTGGGTTTGAGGCCGTAACCCTCAGTCTCAAAGAGAAGTGAAAGTGATGGTCTATGAGTCTTACTGGAAGACATCGTGCAAGGACCGCCGTTTGACCCGAACCCCCGTCGGCTCAAATGTTAAAAATTATTGATTCTTAGCACATTTGAAAATTCGGCCTTTTTGTAAATTTGCTGTATACCCGACGCCAACCAGGAAAGCCAGAGCCAAAAATTCCGGAATAAATAATTTTTCCTCTCAAGGGACTTGGACGATTTCAATATAAGGCCTTCGAAAAATGATTCTGAACTGTACTTCTCACTAACATCCTTTGCATCATCACTAGAGCGATTTTTTTTATTTGAAACATTATCCAAACTTTCTGTCAATATATTTTCAGCTTCGGCTTTACTGCGGGTAAACGTGTCGTTACTGTAGTTATTCTCCACGACATCTTTCCACATATAGCGTCTTGGAGTTTGACACTTGGTCCCAGGTGACAGGGCTAGAATAATAATTTCCATTTTTGGCTCATTATAGCCGATTGCGGATATGCGCTTTGTTATAAGTTCATGCTTTCTTATTATAATCCACACTATATCAACTTTGTTAGAACCCGTCAAACAGAAATTGGATTAATTCTGTTATTTGCAGGGTAAGGCGGCCGCGGTTTTTGATTCAAACCTAAAACTTTCACTTCCGCTTGCTTTCTATATTTTTGATATATGCATATGCGTAGAGATTGGAGTTCCACATATTATATCGTGTTCATCATCTCCTGCAGATGTAGAAGAGGGGGAGATTTCATAGACCAGATTGAATTTGAACTGGCGTTTCGGAGACTTCGTTGATGCATCTAAAATACGATTACCCTTCATATTGACCTTGTCCCATAAATGTTCATTCCTTACTTTTCAATAGAACCTCGTTAATTTAAAAATTAACAAGTTTCAAGTTGCTAAAAGCTACCTACATTATTAAAAAACAAGCTTTTAGACAACAATTATGAGACGTACAAGAAAGAAAAAGCCACAACTCAAAAACCAGTTGGTGAGGCCGAGAGTAAGTAGCCTTTAAAGAGAGCATCTGCTTTGCTCTTTATATCAGCACAATTTACTTGTTTTTGAAGATATCCAATCGGTATAGAAGAATCGGGAAGTTCTTCGATTCATCTCGACAGTGCAATGTAAATAAAATTTTGAAAGGCTAGCATGGAATGAGGTCCACTTTATTCGTAGCATGTTATTTTGATACGAACAGTATAGGCAAGCAATGACAAACTTCACGAAAAAATGGCACATACACATTTGAACAGGTGAGTGTTTTACGAAGAAAACATCGACGCAAAACATCCATCCATCAAGGCTAATTACTCTCTGTTTGAGTAACAATGGAAAATGTTCTCAAAATTCAGTTAAAGCTTGGATAATCTTTCTTTGGGTACTGATTACTGCAGAATTTCAAGATATTCCTATCCTCCTGCACAGCTTCATCCATCTTCCGAAGTTCTTTCTTTCCCTCTTCGTCCTCCTTCAGTTGGATACATACAGACTTTCGTCGCATCATTCCGAAGAATGTGTTCTCAAAATCTTCTTGGTCTTTCCAAGTGGGTGAAATGCTAGCTCTCCTCCCACCAGTCCGCTGAAGAACTTCCCTGTCCAGATCCTCCTGTGACCGGGAAGGTAGCATCTCTCCGCCCAGACTCCAGCCGGACTGCTGGACACCGTCAGTTTTAGCAAACATGCCTGGGGACGATTCGCTGGCACTCAAATACTGACGAACTAATGGTTGTGCCAAATCGGTCAGGTAAAGCGACGACTTCTTCGGACAGATTGTCGCATAATGCAGCTTCAAGGCAATTTTTTCATGAACTTTGACAATCTTCTCATCATGGCTAACCGGGTCCCTTTGGAGCAAGCGCCGAATAAAACTGTCATCAATTCGTGTGACGAAGGCTCGCAAGCGATTACGGCCCTTGGAGCCCACAACACCCTCCACACCAACGAGTGCATGGTCTACTACCTGGTCCAGAGAGATCGCAAAGAGGCTGAGATTCCGACCCGGGTACAATTTAACATGTAGCAAACGTACAATAGGTTTCATCGTCATTCCCAACAAACCCACTGTCACAAGGATAACAAAGAGAGTGCCTGTTACGATAATACGTTTCACCTCCAATCCTTGGATGCCCAATTTCTGTTCGTCAACAAGAAGGGCCAGTGACAGACAAACTGCACCCCGGAGACCACCGTAAATGAGGACGAACTGCTCCCGAAAGGAGATGCTCATGTCATTGATGCGAAAAATGTTGATCAACCAACTGAGCAGTAGGACAACGAGGGTTCGCGCCACCACGCAGATAGCAATTCCCCACAAACAAAAGCCGCTGCTCCAATGCAAATCCGAGACAAATAAACTAATTCCAATGAGGAAGAATATGAGGCTCTCACAGACTTCGGCTATTTGTTTTACTATCTGACGCAGTGCAATCCGGGAATCATTGGAAATGTTGTTGAATGCATAGGCAGCCTGAACAAGGCCACAGCCAACCATAGCAATAAGACCAGACCAGCCGAGACAGTCTCCCAAAATGTAGGAAAGATAAGCTAGGAGTATGAGGAGTAAGGCAGAAAATTCAGACTTGAAGCGAGTTAGAATACTGGAAATGACGCCGAAAGCGACTCCTACACCCAGTCCACCAAGACTGATTGTGAAGAAGGATGCAAAGCCGTTGCCAACATCGACACTAGAGACGGAATCACTATTTATGAATTCTTTCATTATGCTGTAGAGGACAATTGTCACGGCGTCGTTGAGAAGAGACTCACCGAAGACCATGTGATAGAGACCAAGATTGACACCGGTCTCTTGGAAAATTTCTAACACTGCAACCGGATCTACAGCGACAATCATCGAGGCAAAGAGGAAGTAACTATTGATTGTGATTTCTGGAATGTCGGGTTCCATCGCACCGGCCACATCCAGGCCGAACATTATCCCTCCAATGAGGAGAAAACTGAGAACTGTTCCTAGTACAGCGTAAATAAGTATGCTTCCAAGGTAGTCGACGAATGTTCGATTGTAGAGAGCGTAGGACGAATCGAGAACTGCTGGAGGAAGCAGAAATTTGAAAAAGTAGGTCGGTGTAAGCTGCCAGACGGTATTACGAAAAGCATTCTTTTTGCCTGAAAATTTGATGGCTCCAAATATGACACCAACGACGATCAGAGTGATGGACTGAGGAACATAGTCCGGGAGGCGGGGCACTTTGGGATAGAAGGTCCGGAAGAGACAAATGGAGATGAGAAGGAGGAGTATATCGAAGTATATTTCGAGGCCCTTATAATGCCACTCCACGAGGTTCACTTGAGGTACGATGACGTGTGAATCGTTGGTCTGACCGTGACTCCCACCAGTCCCACTCCCCACGGCACCCCACCCGGACGAAAAGGAGGAAAAAACGAAGAAACAGCCGCCTATTAGGAGCATGAGAAACAGCTAAGAATCAATTTAACCATCCTATTTAGCGCAACCGGTGCGAAATTTAGATGATCGTGATTGGTTGTCGTTGTGGCCACCCAATTTGTGTCGTTCACTTTTCTTCTAGGAGTAATGCACCCAGAGTTAACGGCATAAATTAGCCAATCATGGGAAGAGATCCAGATATACAAAAATTCGATCATAATTTGACCAAATATGGTACCACAGATAATATGCTACCACTTACGCTAACTGCATACCTGAAGAGATAGCTTTAAATCATTTTATCGGTTGTGTCGCATGACTATTTTTCAGCAACACTTCTCAACTAATGATTGCCCGTGTTGTCTGCAATTTCAAAATTAAGCGGAAGCCACGTATGTCCCCCCGTCATCTGGAAAGATCAGTGAACGCTGTTCCCACATGACCTTGGATAACCAGGCGTCCCCAGGATACCGGCGATAAATTAAAGCTTTGCACATCTATTAAAGCATCTCGGGGATTCACGCGCCAAGCAATGGAACTATGAACGTTTTTAGGCCACTCGACCAGATTATACAAGAAGCACAAATTCATTGGGTTGGCGGGTTGATGCTGTCTCACAGGACATATCTTCTGTTTGTATGAATTTCTTCTCTTATCCTTCTGGTCAGTGTGCTAGGACCTAAAAGTGTGCATTATCTGGAATTTGAAGACATTAAATGGTAATAGGAACTGACGCATTTAGCATGCCATGCCTTCGACGAATATTTCATAGACAATTCAATATCTGTCTCGGCCCGACTTACTATCAATCTGAAAGACTGGAAGTCGGCATAGACTGAAATGCTCAATACGTCTCTAATTTAGACTATTTAGGGGCGGAAGTGAATGTCCTCCACAATTACTTTGGAAAAAGCAGTAGATAATAGAAGCTTTTTCAAACACATGACTGAAAAATTTACCAAAGACCAAAAACTCATAGAAATCCCTCATTATTATAAAGTTCAGTTTCCAACAGACTTCGCTACAGACGATGATGTTAAAAATTGGAAACTTGCAAGTTTGTTAGTATGAAGGATTCAAGAGGCAGGAGCGTTCACTTACTCTGAAAGATGACCTCATAAAGAGGTTGATTTGTGAGTACTTGACGAAAGAAAACCTCTATTGAATGGAATTTTTTTCAACAACTAGAAGGTTGGAATCCCAAAAGATTCACATATATGATAATTTGGATTCCTGACCGAAGCCCTAAAAGGAATGCTTCGGATAATCAATTCTTTAAAACGCACGACAACAAAATGAAATATCAAATTAAGGCGACGTTTATGGGTTGAACAAATGTTTATCCCTGCTTGACCCCTTCACAAGACAAATCCACTAACTGATTTACGTCCACTCACCAATTGTTAAAGAGAAAGGTTTCGAGCCTTGACTGTCATGCTGTTTGGACAAACCAAACAATTATACAACGAATGTAAAGTACAACGTTCAGGTTTTTGTACACATGGCCGATGTAACCGATCATCTGCGGGTTTTCTGTCATGCTATACAGTGTATATTTTGGGCGTTTAAACTCCCGACTCATTTTGCAAATATAGTTCCTCTCGTTAGGAAGGTGACATACTTTGGGAAACTGTAATCCCTATTGTGTGTTAATTGTTCTTGTGCACCCAAGTCTGATGACGAGCCGAGGAACTAGCCTCGAAAATTACACATAAAAAGTTACAGTTTTCTAAAGAGTTTCATCTAGGGATGCCCGTTTTTCAATTCATAGTTAATTTCATAGATTTGGGTAAATAACAGCATGCAAAGAAGAATCCCATCTGAGCATATTTCAGCTTATTCGTCTTAAATTCCCCGCATTCCTCCTTAAACCTCCTTTAAAATATGATTTTCCGCTTTAAAGCTTTAGTACAGCCAACGCTCTAGCCACCCGGATTCGAATTTCACCAGAGCGCCGAGTTTTTCACAGTTGGGTCAATATAATTTATGCGGAATCTGCCAAAACATCTATAGCTTCCTTTTGTTTCTAGGCCTACTTCACGGTGAGAACCAAATTGCCCTACTTAGTTGATACTTATGTGGCCTATTTCTTGAGAAAATAAATTATTTCGCAGGCTACGTGTCAAGTGCGGGCGGTCCAATGCTCCTAGTGGGAGTTCAAAACGACCGCTGGCATTACGCTTCATTCTGAGAGCCTAACAGATCTGGCTATATAGTTGAATCATGCCGCCCTTCATCATACAGTCGCCACATGTCATGAAATAGCCTGGGATTATATGTTAGGTGCCGATTCTCTGTGTAGGTCTAATTTTTCGCTGGCCTTTAACAGTAACGGTCTTTGCCCGGGTGCTACTAGTATGCTCTTTGGGGCTGAAGCCCCGATTGGCACTCAGTTAAAAATGTAAGACGACAGCACTTGTGAGGGATTCGAATCCCTTCAGTTTGCTACAAGGAGTGTTTCACAGAGAAACACGATTTACCAAAAAGTATAAAGATATGCATTGGTCAGAACTTTACCGAATTATCCAACTTTTATTGCTCATTGCAGCTCCTATTTGTTATGAAGAAAGAACCCTGAGATTGATGTTGTCATAGTTGTGCTAAGACAGTCTAGAAACGACACCGACTTCGCGAGATGGCGGTCGACATGAAATTTGTAATAGTAGTGGAAGTTTCATGGGCATCTCAGTTTGTTTTAGCAAGGAAGAATGTAAATTTGAAAGTACCAAATTTTTCTATCTCTCTTTTCAAATATCCTAAAAGGTCCTGCAATTACGTTTTCCTATTTGCCTCAGTGATGGGAGTTTATCTGGTTGCTTTTATATGGAATCTTATAGTTTCTTGTTTTATGCCAAGTATAACGTTTGTTTTTTCCTCCCTGAATTCTGTTTATTGGAAGAAAACTATGTAACCTAACGTTCGGACACAATACATCATATTTACGTGTATGGCTATTACGGCTGAGACAGGTGATTGGCATAATGGACGCAAATGTAATCCTCCTAGGTGTTGTCATATTGGAACGCCCGTGGCAAACCACATGACGTTCCCCGTACACAGCGGGCGTCTGCGGGATGACAGGTCATTCCGCATGAAAAGTCAGAAGCAGCACCACAAAGGCACTTCACCTTTCGGGGACTTGCCAATTGATATGGTAGCTAGCTTTCCAATTGACTACATGCACCTTGTCGGTCTCGGTGTCATGCGGAAGCTCCTGTATATGTGGCGGCTGGCTACGGGCCAGCAGTCCGTCACAATAAATGCCTCCATAAAGCAGTGCAGTCAGTGTTTGCCTGCGGAATTTTCCCGCAAGTGCAGACCTCTTGACTGTCTGGAATTCTGGAAGGCCGCGGAATACCGCCAATTCCTATTGTACATAGGCCCCGTTGTTTTAGCTTCCCATCTTGACTCATCACGCTATGAACATTTCCTCCTTTTATTTGTTGCCATTGTTATTTTTTCCCATCCAATTATGCACAAAACATTCGTTGATTTTGGACGTTTGTTATTAGATAAATTTATTTCAGATTTTCCAATTTTTTACAGTGCTGCAGACGTAGTATATAGTGTTCATTGTTTGGTCCACTTCCACGAGGGCGTCAGTGGTTTTAGAGTGTTGGAAAATTTTTCCGCTTTCCCTTTGAGTCTTTTTTGCAAACCCTTCGCAGTACCATCAAGGGCCCCAGTAATGTAGCGGCACAGGTGTACAAACGTTATTCTGAGACGTTTGCCTGAGTTGCCAACTAGCTCACTGCTGTTGGACGACGATGAGGGGGTACCACGGTCGTTTCAGTTGCCGCGCAGGTCGACCGCTATTCTTCACAATGGCTACGTATTGTCCACCGAGGCGCCTGATAACGTTGTGCTAATTGGAGAACGACCGTTTGTACTGACATCTGTGTCGGTTTCCGAAATAACGTATCGCCCCTTCGAGGACTGCGTTGACCTTTTTACAACTTCTGTTTCTTCTTCTCGTTTGTTTATTTTCAAAGCACAAACACTGCTCCCCTAAGTGATATTACTTGTAAATATGTTTCTTTTCATATTGGCAAACAGTTTTACTTAATCCTTCTGTTGCACACGTTTAATGTACAGTGATTTTATTTGTATGGGTATTCCCATGACCCATACATCCTTGCAGATGTATGCCGTAGTTGAATTTGTCTCCGACAATTCAGTGGCCGTTGTTGTCAATTCATGGTTTTGTTGAGAAAACTATGTTGTCTGGCCAAAGAAGCGAGAGATGCAGCATCTGCTTGAGGCTACCCGACGGCCCTTCGATAGCGCAATAGTGTATGAGGTCAAAGTCCTCAGGGACGGCCTTAATCTAGATAAGGCACGGAAGTTGGCCCAGAAGGCAGAACTTACAGACAACCTTTCATCGTCAGAGCCGGCTACTTTAGGAAGTGGCATGAGGACAAAGTACGTTAGCCATACATTACTTTTTTTCAAAGATATCCTAGAAGACTGACGCCAGATTCGGACGACGACAATGACCAGTTCGACATACGAGGGCACACAAAGAGGCGGTTAGGCCCATGGCCTGTACCTCCAGCTGTACTCCGGAAGGTCTCATTGGCTTAAACGACCGTCAGGTCAACAAAAGATAATATGCCGGGTCCCTCCTACTGTTAACCAAGACAAACAGGAAAGACGTCTTATTAGTAATCGTGCCTTATTACATTGTCGCTTGGGCTGCCAATCGACGAGAACATGCCTCCTCCACCGAATTACTGTTACCAGGAAATTAAACAGCAGATGTCATGCCATAGGTAAACCGATTGAAACCGTTCTTTAATATACTACAGGAAACAATTGGACGTCCTTTCAGAGCAAGTGCTCCGGTTGAATAACAATATACAAGACATGAAGGTCATGCTTGCAGACAACCGACGAGCCTTGCAAACGGTGAGCTTCGTTTCGAAAGAGAAGCCCTCTCTTCTTCAGCTGCCTCTCCGGACGGCGGATGCGTACCATGACGTTGTCACAAAAATCGGATCGGACAATGGCATAGCACAGGAAGCGGTATGTAAACAAGCTTAGACACCGTTTATGGCTTATAGGTAAAACGTCTGTCCACCGTGGGAGGCAGAACTGAAAAGGAGTTCATACGTAATCTAGAGATTATTATCTCGAGTTTATTATGTATTTGAACACCTACAGATGCCATATGAAACAATGAGCAGTGTCGAGGCTGCCGTTCAGAAGTAATTCGGCAAACAACGATTGAATGGTTCCACGGAACCCGAGATCGATACGGCGGGCGAGCAAAACGGCGACGTACTGCCGATATAGTACATAATTTTCTGCCAAGTAATAACAACACATTTAACTAGGCTCCCCTGGATAGTTCAGCGACCAGCCGTGACTTTTTGCCGATTGGTCGACTGCAGCCGTATCGGCATGTTTCCCAGGGACGCGCAGGAGTGAGCATACGCTGATACTGGTATCGATTTTTATCGATAGCATGGCGTGCTTGCTTGGCGTGGTCGCCCCTGCAGGCGCCCATGGGCGTCACTTCCTGCCTTGCCACGCTGCTGAGCGCACTCAGACCTGTCCTGAGCTTTACCTTTTCTAGTAACCCATACTATTGAGTTTAACCGTTTTCGTTTCTTCATTTTTAGACCAATTTCCCGGAGAACTTATCGTAGGCGTGTCGAGAGAGAGAGAGAGTTTAGAAGCCGTATACGTACAATTGCTGAGATAATGAGGGAGAAGTACCCGCCAAAGTCATCATCTTCGTCCTCAGGTTCATCCACCAGCTCAGAGTCAATAGATACCCCTATGTCGTCTTCGGTGGACACATCGACGTCGATGACTGAACAGTGGCAAAGTCCTTTTGAAGAGCGTCCCGTGTCCCTCCCAACTGAGGTGCAGGTAACCTCACGAGACGTGCTGCGATCCTGGGCTGTTAGTGCTGAAATACCCCACCAGCATCTGACCAGTCTGCTGAAGGTGATGAGGCAGATGACGCCAGAGGAGCTGTACAGCTTGCCCTTGGACGCACGAACACTTCCCGGCGGAGCAGGCGATCTGCCACTGGTAACGGCATTGGGCGGCGGTGAGTACGTTCACTTAGGACTTGTAAAGTAGTTGACTGAGCAGTTACGTGCCTTTTCCATGAAGGTGGGTGGATAAAGAGATAGTAGCTTACTTGGCCATTGACGGTCTTCCTATTCATAAGAAGACCAAAAGAGAATTTTGACCAATTTTAGGCAGAATTATCCAGCCTTTTGTTGGTCATATTTTTGCTGTAGGAATTTATTGTGGGCAGGGAAAGCCGCCCGATGTTCAGTCGTTTTGTAGACCTCTAGTTGACGAGTAAAGAACCCTTTGAAGTTCAGGTCTGCGTGTCGACGACATCGACAGAACGCTGCAGTTTCGCCTGGCAGCCGTTATCTGTGATGCGCCTGCTAGGGCATTCATTAAGCAAATTAAGAACGTTAATGCATACTATGGTTGTGAACGTTGCTATGTAAAAGGGGAGTACCTTGACAAAGTAGTTTACGACAGTGTGTCTGAGCCTGCTAGGACGGATGAGGACTTCTTGACTCCTTTTGATGGCAGTCATCATGTCGGTATTTCTCCGTTACTTGTTTGTAATGTCGGAATCATAAGTGCATTTCCTCTAGACCCCCTTCATTTAGCTTACCTAGGTGTACTAAGAAGGCTGTTGAACTTGTGACTTAGGAGCCCAAGGGAGAACGCTTTTAGGTTGTCAAGGGCAGCAGTAAGTACAGTTAATGAAAGGCTCAAATCACTGAATGCGTACCTGCCGCGGCAATTTTCGCAGCGTGCAAGGTCTCTAAATGATATAGACACATGGAAGGGCACGGAATTACGTCAGTTTCTGCTTTACACAGGCATAGTGGTGATGCGATACGTTCTTCCGCGTAGGTATATTAAGCATTTTTTATTACTTGTAGCTGCAGTACGCTGTAGGGTGAGGCCTCAGTCCTGCAAACAGTGGGTTCCCTTTTGCAGGCATTCGCTATGCAGGTTTGTTGAGAAATTTTCATCTTTATATGGTAAGGCCGAAGTGGTGTACAATGTTCACAGCATTGTGCACCTACCGGACGATGTACTAAGACACGGTCCATTGGATAGTTTCTCGTCGTTTCCATTTGAAAGTTACATAGGCAAACTGAAGCGGATGCTAAGGAAACCGTCACAGCCACTGCAGCAAGTAGTACGCCGGCTAGCCGAACTGCAAGGCCACTGTCAGGCGGACAGCAGTCAAATGCAGTGGACTTTTAAGTATGAGCATTCTAATGGCCCCTTGCCGGAAACGGGTGGATGTTTTAGTCAGTTTCAGTTTATTTATATCAATAATCTACTTCTTGGGACGTCGCCCAGTGAAGGATCAATAGTAATCGATGGAAAGTTAATTGGCATCCAAAACATCATCCGTTATGCGTCGGGCAACGTAGCAGTAGTTTACGTTGAGTACGATGATATAGAAGATAATTTTTTTTATCCTACCAATTCATCGCAATTAAAGATTTTCAAGGCAACTTTAGGTACTGTACTCAAGACCTACCCACTTTCATTATCGGTGCGCAAGTATGCCTGTTTTCCAATCAACGACGACTACGTACTAATGGAAATCCACGGACGTTGGGACGCCGCGTATCAGCAGTGCTTCGCAACCTAAGTACAATCGACGAAAAGATGATGGCTTTGGACGGTATTTCTCCCTCATATACTCAGCAAAAAGGTCAGTCGCACTGTTGCTCCCACCGTTCATCGGTCACTTTCCACGTGTCCTACAACCCTACAGTCCCTGACCTTATGATACGTGGATGGTGAAGGGAGGCAGTGATTACCAATATAGCATTCCCTACAATAACCTACTGTTTTCTTGTTGGGTTGTAGATCATCATGTCTCAGGAGTTACCTCCCGATGAGAATGAAAAGAACAAGAGGAAGTCGAAGAATCCTTATGACCCCCTAGTTTGGGCCCTGGGGGAGATGCCAGAATTGGCGTCGACGTCGGTAGGGCTACCTACTGTTTACCGATTTTCGGTTTCAGGGATCTGAAGGGGAGGCTACCGATTCCAGCTCAACCATACCGGGTTGTGCATCTCCAATTTACACGGGTAAGCTTCTAGGTACTGTATGCGACTCGCGTAGGTCATAACCGTCTTTTTAATACACCTAGGCGGACGGGACGCCCAGGGCCTCAGCAACCCCGCCGGCGACGCCGGGCCAGTATGAGGCAGGGACTGCGGTGGTTGATGCATTCCGTCGCAATGCTAATTGGTCAGGTCTCCGAGATGCGTCAACAGCAGGCAGCAATGATGGACCTCCACCACGGCCACCGGGGCATGTCCAGCAGCCCTTGTGAGTCCACCAGATTCAATTTGAGTCCGGTAGACACTCCGGAGCAGCTGGACGCCCTCACGAACGCCCTGGGCGAAGAAGCTTATCGCCACCAACTGTAACTAAGTTATTCATTTCTTTCTTAGGTGATGTACCTTAGCTCGCTTGGCGGGGACGCCGTTTTATCCTTCGTTGACAGAGTGTTCGGAGCGCTGTTCTCCGAAGACATTACCTCGTTTGTCACCTTCTGTGGGCGACAACAGGAAAAGAGGCCGTTCTTCGGAACGCTATAGTCAGTTGTTCTGTAATTTTTAGTGCAACTTTCACTAACATATAATTAATAGCAATATTTATTCACATTAATTAGTGTAGTACTATGCACATATTTCTTATGCATGCTGTTAGAAACTCGAATCGTGTGATATCCCACGCATACATATAAGCAATGGTAGGGGCGCTCACCGATCGTTCATATGGAACTCACTCGTTCCGTTATGCCTTAAGGGCTCTCTCTCGAGCGCAACCAGCAGCCGCACAGCGGCGTCGATATATAGGCAGAATGATATTACCGACAAAGACAAGGGAGACTGGAATGGCCATTTCTGGCTTACTAGCCGTCGTCAGCCAGTCATACCCAAGCCCGAAGTGTGGAACACCCGAGCCTCGAACTCGCGACCTGTTGGTTTAGAAGTCCACGCCTCTACCCATCGGGCCACGAGTCCGTTGCCCTGTCGGTTTTCGATCGGGAATATACAATGGTAGGGGCGCTCACCGATCGTTCATACGGAACTCACTCGTTCCGTTGTGCCTTAAGGGCTCTCTCTCGAGCGCCACCAGCAGTCGCACAGCGGCGTCGGCTAATAAACCAGAAATGGCCATTCCAGTCTGTCTGCCCTGGCCGACTCCAGACGTTGATGGCACGCCGTCCCGACGTACTGAGAGCAGGCACACGCACTCAGCGCCTACAATCTAAATGGAAGCCCTTTACTTCCCCACTCCCTTTCCATCGTCCTCAACACACTGACTCCGTCATGCGGGTGGCAATTAACCCTACCCCTGAGACGCATATACACCCTGTCGACTATAAGACTGATCATTTCTCTTGTAAATGTACAGGCCTGATGAGGAATTACCGAAAACATATGTTAGCCAATTGAATTTTCAATCGTAATATGGGAATTTTCGCAGAACTGATTATTGTAGCTGGGTTTTTTATTCTTACAGGAGCCTGTCGTGGATGAGGATTTCCATCAACAGTACACTGTCGATTAATTGACAGAACAATACGGATCTGTATCTCATATGCCCCATGTATATAATCCTCTACCCGCTTTTTATTTCATATATCCATTAAACTGCCACATGCAGATACTTGTTGTCCACTGATTTTGTTCGTGTAGACCTCGGGACACGTTTGATTTGTAGGCGCAATCACTATAGTATATGAGGGTGGGTAACATTTAGTACATGTAAGGGGTATGGGTGTCCTGCGTTCCAATGTAGAATGGTATGACCTACTGTACGGAGAATAAGGTAAGGGAAAATACCGGTAACGCAAAAGTGGGGTTAATATCACGGAGAAGATGACGGCTCTCTGCGCGTTTCTTTTCGAGGACGGGCTATCGCGTCCGTCGCCCCGCCCAAACGGGGCCCAGCCCCTTCTGCCCCCGGGTTCTTGACGGGGCCAGACGCGGCTCGTGCTAGCAGGGACGATAGACTGAACCCTTAATTCTTATGTCTAAGTTTTTACCACCCTTCGGTCCAACGCCTCATAAGAACAGTTAATGCGCTGCATATGTGTGTCGTCCTCTGATTTATTCCTAATACAGAATGTAACACAGGAGATTCGGTTTTGCCTTAGAGCCGCGACCTTGGACGTAGGTAATGACTACTTAGGGAATACCAAGCAATGATTAAAATACATTATTAGAAGCGATAAGAAAGGGTGGAAGGGCTGCCCATGTCTTTTATTTGCCGTCGGTCAGTTACTTCATCAAAAGCCCTGGTGGAGTAAACCTGGTGTTCGAAAGCGAGGCCGTCTGCTCATTTAGCATTTAGCCAAATAATCTATCATGTGGGGCACGGACCCATATCTGTCGTCCGTAATCAAGCATGTCTAGTCACATTGAATTTGCGTTGTCCATTTGTTCCAGGCCTACCTGACAACAATAAATGAGTCAGAAAGGATCGTCATGGTCTTCTTTGTCTATGCCCGTAAGATTTGTTAACTTTTCATATATTAGATAGTGATTGTGTGCGTCTGCCGTGTCATGATTCAGCAAGCCATGGCTCTCGCAGCCTGGTGCTAGCTGGCAGTTCTCTGGCAGCTGGTTTCCTGCCGGTAGATGCGTTTCCACTCCCGCTGGGTATACAGGCCGTGTGCATGGTCGCCCAGTGACTTATGCCATCCTCTCCTCTTTCTGACCCATTGTTGTTCGTTAAAATCCTGGTCAAGTGTTTGTTGTTGAGCCGGGGCTATGGTGGTGCGCCTGGATGCGGGTCCGGAGGTGCCAGCCCCCTCTCCCGCTTCCGGTCCTCTTTACATTGTCTTCACATCAAGCTCAGGTGGAGAATAGAAAGAGAGAGTGTAGTAGATGTGGCTCAAGTCTACACTCACTATAAACTAATTGAGCCGCAAGTCACCGTGTATGCTCTCACCCTGCTGTGGAGCACAGGATGGACATCATCGGAAGCGATGGTCGAACTGTCATCAAGTAGTCAACCAGGCCAAATATGTAGGACAAGATTCAAGTGGTCAGTGGGCAGTATGACAAGCGTTATACACGTTGTTTTATAGTAATGCGACTCAGAAGACATCTCCTTCTTAGGCGGAATGTTTCTAGTGAAATTTCGGACAAAAATCTATATTTGTTTTTATCCAGGGGAATTACTGCCTTGACACCTATCATAATTAAATGGGCTTTCTGTGTATGTTTCGGTTGAGTCTACGAGATAAAACGCATTCGAATTAATACAACATCGATACAAAAAGGTTCGAAGAGGAATTTTCCAAGGCACAACTTGATTTACTCAGAGTTGACATTTGTCCACTTTCTCATCGACATTTTTCCGTCAGTGTCGCCCCCTTCTTGGCCATCGCTTTGATTCTCACCGGAGACCGAAATTACATATTATGCGTTAGGTAGAAGCTCAGATATTAAAAATGTCATTGCTTTGGTCGCAAAGGCGCAACTACAACTGTCCGGACTGTCTGAGTTTTTGTGAAAGGGCTTTATTATTCCCTGAGGGTTAACCGGTGTTGGCCGAGCGACTAGGGGCGAAGTATCAGTCACACGGTAGCCCTGGGGTTCGTAACCCTGACCCCAACTGGAAATATTTATAGGTAGTTTTCATTTTCCATGCACTTTATTTTCGTTTGCAACTTCGATTTGTTTAAAGAAGGCAAGATTTTTGTTGCCTACTTACTTGTGGTGATAACAGTATAGATACGGGCGAAAGTATGACAGTGGTTACGTAGACTAACGAAACTGGCATCTCCTGTGCAATCGAAAAACTTTGGCTCTGACCTGAAGTCGGCATGTAGAGGAAAAGTGGACAGAAGTAAAGTTTATGAAGACAGCGAATGATATGCTTTCCCAACCCGTCCTTTCTCAATAAAATTGTAACAGCCGACGAACCCAATGTCGACAACAATGATCAACGGTGCCGTCGTGCGCGGAGGTCGCCCAAAGACAGTTGTCTACTTGAGCGATTAAAAAAGGAGAGCAAAGAGCGTTCACGGGGTATCTGACGGGTCGACTGTTGCATCTAACCGATGTTTGAAAGGGCTCAAAAATATTTCCCTAAGTTATAGGCAACTAAAGTAGAATCAACATGGCGTCAAGATGACACAATCTAAACGATCAATAACCTCAGAACTGACACTATGATCACATTAATGCAGCAAAGATGAAATAGGCTCATCTGTAATAAACAAAGTTTCTGCATCGTGAAGCGAATTACGTTATTCCTCATCATTCATGTACCACTGGTTACGTAGATATTCTATTCAGGTTTGAAATCCAGCTTTCAACTTTGCCCTTTGTCACTTGATTTAAAAAAAGTTCTGACAATATACTGAATGAAACAGTCAGGCTAATGAAGTCTCGACTAAATGTTAGCCCATAAAAAAGCTGAGACCGATGTTAGGGGACGCTCACCGATCGTTCATACGGAACTCACTCGTCCCGTGGTCTCTTACGGGCTCTCTGTCGAGTCCAACCTGCAGCCTCACAGCGGCGCATGCTATAGGCACAATGGCATTAGCGACAAAGACAAGGGAGACTGGAATGGCGATTTCTAGCTTACTAGCAGTCGTCAGCCCTGTCTTTTTTGGTAATGCCATTCTGCCATTCTGCGTATATCATGCGCCGCTGTGCGGCTGCTGGTTGGGCTCGAGAGAGAGGCCGTAAGGCACAATGCAACGAATCAGTTCCGTATAAACGATCAGTGAGCGCCCTCTACCATTGTATATTCCCGATCGAAAACCGACAGGGCAACGGGCTCGTGGCCCGATGGGTAGAGGCGTGGACTTCTAACTAACAGGTCGCCAGTTCGAGCCTCAGGTGTTTCACACTTCGGGCTTGGGTATGACTGCCTGACGACGGCTAATAAGCCAGAAATGGCCATTCCATTCTCCCTTGTCTTTGTGGGTAATGCCATTCTGCCTAAAGCTCAGACCAATGGCAGTGGGTAATACTGTGAACGGGTGCCACTTTATCGCCAATAATTCAGAGCCCATGAGAAATATCTCATGTGCAGGATGATTTCAAAGGGCTAAATCCATGCATCAACATGTTTCTTAGTCTGGGCTGTGTTGGGGACTTGCTAGAGTAAACGCTTTTGCAGAACGCTGCACAAACCAATAACCATGTGAATGATGGCGCCGTAGTCACCTTATTTTACGAAAACATTTAAAAAGAATGACAAACAAGGATTCAGGCTGCTTCATTCTGATAAAGATCATGGGACTAACCAGCATCAGTGCCTATCTTCTTAAATAAACTAGCAGACGCTCATTTTATCTTGTCATTCCTTTCAAAAATGTTCTTCTGTAAAACTGTTCGTTGAATTAAGTGGCACTTTTTCTAAATAGGAGAAATCACTCCACCTAAAATCAAGA